CTAGCGGCCTCAGTTACCGGTAACGACGGAAGTCCCTTATACCGAAGACGATCAGCGGGAGACGTCGGCAAATTGGTGACCGTGCAAATGCGAATCGGTGACATAGAAGTCGGTAACCGCTGGGTGGTTTCGTATTCGCTTTTGCTTTTAAAAGCAAACGAAGTTCCCGTAAATGTGGAAAGCTGCAATTACGGGAAATGAATTAGGTACATTTGTAAGTACGTGAATAAAGGCAGTGACATGGCCGTCTTTGGCCTGCAACATGAAAGGAGGGAAAGGGATGCGAACATACGAAGCAATGAAATCTCACACTATCGGGCTGGAATATGCGCCAACAGCAACAAGTCCGTGTGGCGGATTCTTTCTTTTCACATTCATGAGCGAAGTGCAGGTGCTGTTCACATGCCGTACACTTAGTGAATTGGCAATGTGTTTACCTTACAGCTGCAAATGTGCAACAGATTACCTTAGGTCCACTGGCCACAGCATTAACTGCGTTCTTCGCGTTAAGCCAAACTGACGCCTTTTCGAACTGTCAATAACGGGGTTGAAGGAATCTTCTTGTAAGATGCATCAGAAGGGACTGGGAAAACGTTCCTAATAAGACTGATTTTGACAGCAATATGATCCAAAAATGACATAGCCTTAGCACTTGTGTTCTCCGGAATACCTACAACCCTGCTACCCGGCGGAAGGATTGCTCATTCTGCTTCGAAATTGTCGTTGAACGTGTTATTCATTGATACTCCCACGTACAACATTTCCAAGGCACCCGGCACGGGAAAAGTAATATAGAAATGCAAACTTAGTGTTTGGGTTAAATGCATCGTGGTTCGAGGCCTATGATCGAACACTGCAAGATTTGCGCGGACAACAGCCGAAGAAGTAAATGTCTGTCTGAAATACTCTACATTGCAGCGCCATGTCCAGACGGTAAAATAAACTACAATCCAGTAGCAGAATGCCCGAACAGCTGAGATATTCTCACACATTAATTGCTGGCATTTGGGAATGGAACGGCCCCGGTTAATCTGACTTCGGGATGCAGTTTCCTACTTTTACCTTCGGATG